ATGATTTGGCCTTAGATTAAGAATAATTTAAGAGCATGGTTGAGATATTGAATATCAAATGACTTGGAATAAAATATTGAGAATATCATGAATGTTTGAATCATATATTGTGTGCATGATATCAAATGGTTGATTATGAATTGAGATTCAATTTATTTGGATGTTCGACGCTTTAGATATGCTTACTCAGCTTCATCGCCTAGCGTGTAGTATGTTTTATTTGCTACACGCAGGTAGACAGAATGAGTGAATGGCATGTTCTTGGCAGCAGAAGGGGCGAGACAGTCGTGGTGGATTTATTGAGAAAATAAATGATTATGTTATTATGAATCATGTTTAAAAATCGCTTCTGCATTAAACACTCCGTATTTACTACAATTATGTTTGGAATTTCATTTATGATGAATAAAGTGTGTTTGAAAAGTTTTAAATTATACGATTACCAAGTGAATACTTTAGTTCGGAAGGGGTTGTAAACCTGGACGGATTAGGGTGTTACAGATACATTGAACGGAACAAACTTTGTTGACTGGCAACGCAATCTCTCCATTGTTCTCCGCATGGATGAGAAAGAGTATGTGCTCGAAAAGCCCATTCCTCCTGCCCCTCCCGCTAACGCCCCGAAAGCGGTCAAAGATGCCTACAAGAAACACGTTAAGGATGACAACCAGGTTAGCTGTGTCATGCTGGCTACCATGATAACCGAGCTGCAAAAACAGCACGAGGACATGAAGGCCCACGAGATGATCGTGGCCTTACGGCAGCTATACCAGGGGCAATCCAGGCATGAACGTTTTCTCGTGAGTAAGGCTCTCTTTAGTTGCAAGCTCTCTTCAGGGAACCCGGTGTAACGCCCCAAAACATACCCTAGAATTATTAATGAATAAATAATAAATTAATCACAATTGTTTTGATTAAAATAAATTATTGTTGGGCTTTGGGCCGATTTGAAATTTGTTTTGACATCTAATATCAAAATCTGGATAAGTCTCATAGAGATAAATCCAATATGTGGACTATTTGTGTGATCTTGATTGGGAACCAGAGTACAGACCCAAATCAAGAGTAAATAAAGAATTTGTTTAGAATGTAAATATTGAAATGATTTGTTGAAATAAATCATGAGAATAATTGATGTGAATTAAATGAGAGAACCTTTTATGAAGAAGGTCAATTAAACTAATTTTGACTCTGTTAAAGTCAAACACCCAAAAATGTGGTTTCAGAAAAAGTATAATGAATGATTATAAAAATTATATCGTTGGATAGAGTTCGACTGTGTGATCGCAACGGTGCAAACGGATTTTAATTTGGAGAAAGTTGGACCAAAAAGTGTAACCCAACTGGAACCAAAATTGGTCCCAATCAGGGACACTGTGGAGACGGCGCCTCCCAGCGCACTAGAAAGTTTCCTACGCAGCATCTACTTGGAGAAGTGTCCTCTTCTTCTTCACCATTCTATATAATAAGAACCTAACCCAATAAATTCTTCATCATTCTTCTTCATTTTTCCTTCTAATTATTCCTGAGAGTGTGAGGGGTATTGTGGTGCTGCCATTTTAGTGAGAGGTCGCCGGAGTTAGGAGCTTTTGTCGCCGGAAGTTTCGCCGTTCTTTCGCCGGAATCTTCGTTAAGCTTCGAGGTAAGCCCGTAGATATATCTAATGACTAGAATGTTCATATAGATCGATTCTACGTTCATAGATGGTCATTTGGTTGAGTTTTGTGTTTGACATGCTTGAAGAACTAAGAATCATAAACCATGAAATTGATGTAAAAATTAAGAATTAATGATGCTAAAATGGTCCATGAACCTTGGAGAACATTTTTATATACTTTAATTGAAGTTTGGTGAGTAAAAGTGACATTTCCGCAAGTTGGCTCGAGGTAGAAGACGATGGATAATCGATTATCAACTTGAAAATCGATTATTCATCGTTCTGCAGATTTTTGTAACAAAGCTGAGCAACAGTCGATTATCAGAATGTGATAATCGACTGTCAGCCCTCTCTGAAGTTTGATAATCGATTATCAGAGTGTGATAATCGATTATCAGCCCATTCTGAACATCAGACAGTAGATTATCAGAAGTGACAGTAGACTGTCACCCTACACTATTGAAGAAAATGAAG